GTTGAAAAGTTGGAAATACAGCGTACATAACAATACCGCATTTGTTAACATACCGTTCCGCTTACGCAAACAGCTCACCTGTTTCAATAGTGATACGCCTGAGAAGCAGAGGGAAGTGAGTCAATGTGATAAACCACTGCTGTTTAGTTTCAAGCTGGAAAACTGGAGACCACGGTCTACATCCTGTCTTTCGAAACGACAAAGAAGCCATTTCGAGGCACAGAACGTCCATTTTCAATGCAAAGTAATTTACTTGAGAAATGGAACGAAACGTTTCCATGGATGCAACGAAAACAAACAAACAGCAAATAAAACACATTCAACAGCTTACATAAAAATGTATATGTTAAAAGCTGTCGAAACCCTTACCGAACACTCGTGCAAACGCAAGACGGTTCGAACGTGTCCGCAACGGCGCTGTCCCCGCTTTCAGTACGCGGCTGGCGACACAGCGAAACCCTCATCTTCCAACAACAGCTGCTACTGCCATATTTGAAGCTCATTTTGCCGAATCCAACTTCTTTCTCTAAAAACCTAAGATAGACTATGGACTACTGCTAGAAAATAAAATATCATAGATGACGAAAGAATGACCTATGAAACTAGATATATCAGAATCTGTTACTTGATAAATCTGCATTCATGCGAGGCTGGCATTTGGGACAACTACTTTTCACTTTCATGGTAATGAAACATTTTCAGGTTCACGTCTCAAGAAAGGTGTGATGTTATTCTACTCTTCCTGTTCCTTTGTACTTTATCTTGGAAATCCATCCACACTAAAAGACTTCTTCATTCTCGGGTATAACATAGTTCTTTGAATTTGGCCATTTGCTTTTATCGATGAATCTGCACTAACCATGAACCTCTGGTCTTGGCAGACAGAGAGAAGGGTAGTAAACCAGATGGCGGGGAATCGCAACGTATCAAAAAGAAAATGTGATCGCTTTCATCTCCTGAAACAGGTTTCAGTTTTTTAAGAAGAAAAAACAGCTGAGGTTCTACCACCAAAAAAGACGCAAAAAAACTACATTGTTCAACGCACTTTTGTTGCCGCCGTTGCATTTAATCTGATCAGCGCCAGCAGAATAATCAGAATCGCCAGTGAAACGAAAGCAGTTAGCGCGAGGACGCCACCGACGTAGAGTTTCAGCCACGGAGGTCGACGAGCGTCGTCCATTTTCTGAAACGAGTATACGACACATTCGAAAGAAAGACATGAAAACTGCTGAGGGAGCTACACTTGATGTGAGCCCCACTACTCACTTTTGCTACCTGTTTCCTCGACTTCAATGGATCGACCACTTTTGCATGTGTCGACCATCATCCTGAAACAAAAGAACATCAGTCAAAAATTCGTGACACCGCCTCGCTGGCTGCCATACGATACATTCCGCGCCCATCGCATGAACATCTACACAAGTAGAAGCTCGACACCATGAGTCAGACGATGACGTCATGAAGTACTGAACAAATAAATACAGCAAACTCGGCGAACTGTCAAAGACCGGACTCCGGAGGCTGGACGAAGTGATCATTACTTTAACTTTGCTATGCTTAGAAGCAGCGCAAACCGTATCATTACCTCGAAGGTGTTGAAATTCAACAGTGCATTGAACAAAACGTATTCCCGGTTCAGACGATGCGCGCACAAAGAGGTTTTATGGATGCCTCGAAAATCACCAGTCACCTCCTGCAGGTAGAATCGGTGCCCAATGCAGTATACTTGGGTTTGGCCAAAAATGACCATTTGACGTTCAGTAACGAAGTAGAACGGATTATGGGAAAGCGTCGTATCACCAAACAGACATTCGACGTATCGGCATTCCGAACGAATTTTGTTTGCGGTTGTATGACGCTGTATCATCCTGGCGATTACCTACGCTGCTGTGGCCGCAGTACAAGTGGAAACCCAGTTTTCATGACTTTGATTCGTCGCTGATTGAGACTGCAGGCTTCGCCAACAAGATCTTGAACGTCGAAGAACATTTACTGCAGCAAGATATGGCTAAAGGTTATTTTGTACATTATGCGACCCGTTCGAACCTCATGTGCATTTCGTTCGCAACAGGGACTTTCTACCGATCCGTTATTGCTTCTCTGGTTCGTTCCTTGCTAGATCCTAATATACCTTGAACCAGTCCTACACAGTTTCTCCATGTTGAAAATTAAACTTATGTGAAAGCACAACGAAAAAAAATTATTTATCGTTACCATTAATATCATTCTATTTGTGATTTTATCTTGGACGATTTGGCCAAAACTCACCACTGACCAGACGGGTTGATGAGTGTCACCCCTTCCACTTGGCAAAATATATTTCTCCAGTTTTTACAGCATGTTTGAACCTGCAAGCGCCTAGAAGCTCAGCAGTACATCGTATTGAGAACCGGCTCTTACCCTTCTACGAAGCTGACGCATTGGAAGTGGAGTTAAGAGATGGGATACAAAAAAGATTTAAAAAAACAATCAATCAGTAAGAGAACAAACAAGAGTCGGCGATGGCATCTCCTGAGTGACGCAATTAAAGAGGCAATAGATAGGACAAGCTGCAAGAAGAACCGATCATCGCTGAAATGGAAAGAAACTGCACTGGGTTTCGAGAGAGAATAAACGGCTGGTAGGAAGATCTCCAGATCGACGGCAATTGAGGTAAACAAGTTCGTTAGATGAAAATGGCAGAAAGGAGAAATCTATGGCAGTCTTGGAAAAGCCTTTATCCTGCAGTGGATCGAAAAATGCTGATGACGATATCAATTTTGTAAACAATAGCCACGGATTACAAAAATATCCATGCATTAAAAAAGCAAATCCGAGCGTCGTCCATGCCAAAAGCACTCCTAGTAGAAATCAGAACAAAAGAACAGTGACGCAAACTTCGCAGCTTCCCCTAAGCAGAACCGCTAGACAATGTGTAATTTATGCTTACGACTGAAGGTGATGCGTGGATTGAATGGAAACGTTCTCTTGACTGTGACATTGTAATGGCTAGTGACTGCATAAAAACCGTAGTGTACAAAGTCAGAGGACCCCACGGGACAGTCGCAATATACGAGTGTACTATATATGCATAACTGCAGCATAGTGCTAAAGAATAGCACTCTTAGGACCATGCACAATGCAACAGGCTCCTCTGCATTGCAGGAAGAAATATTACTGTACAATTCACGTTTAACTGATGAGTAATACTGGTAACGAATAATTAATTCGGAACCATGACAAAGAAAAACGCAGCATGCATATGTGCTAAGTTGAAACGTTGTTGTGAGACATAGACGGTACCAAGTACTCAAACAGTGGCACAGTAGTGGAGAAAAACAATGCATTAAGACCATACTAAAGCTTTGCTGTGTGTTCCTGCTCTGCGTTACGAAGTTCTACAGCGAAGAGTACTACTCGTCTTTGGAGAGCAAAGTATTGTTGAGTAGCTTCCTATCAGGAACTGCAATACAGTGCATCCTATCGCTGCATATGTGCTACATTAAAAGTTTCAATATTTGAGTAGCGAAAGACAATACTGTACCAAGTACTACTACTGGTATCTAGTATACAACACTATATCAAAGGCTAAACGATAAAGCTATTGCTGTACATTAGTAGGGCACAGTATGACATAGTATAACACTATAATATTGCACTGAACTAGATCACAATATTCTAAGGGACTCTTTCCACTGATTTTCGTTGAGTGCAATTCAGTCATTTTTGCAACGTTTCGATATTTTAAAAAATATTCCACTATGAAAAAATGCTACGGCATAATTTGATGAAATACAGTAATAAGCTGCAAGATAATATTGAGTAGAATGCAGAAACAGGAGCAAAAGACTGCATAAAATATGATGCACGAAAACGCGATTACATGATTCAGCAAGATATTACAGTTCTGTACTATATTAGAGTACAAATACAGGAGTAATTTCCAGTGCTACTACTGTTCAGCATTTAACAGAGCATATGGAAAGCTGCAACGTCATGATCTGAACTGTAATTTTGTTATGGATCAATCATTTTTACGTTGCTTCAGCATTTCACACAGCCATATATAATGGTTCACGAAGCTATGACATAACCTAGTGCAGTACGACAGTACGCATCGTTACAGTACATAAGAGTCAGTGATTAAAAAACTACTCTTTTAGTACCGCAACATCGTACAGGCTATGAACGACGGCCAGGAACAAAAGTAAAGATACTAAAATAAGGTACAATTTTTTCCACTGTAATCTTTACTTCCCCCGCGGTGGCCAGTCTACCACTTCATGCTTAAAAGCTCATCTACAAGCCTGAGAAAGAGTTTGACGTAACATTAGAACGAACAAAGAACGGCAATCAACTGCATTTATCCCTGAAGATGGCGAATGAATGTCGTGTTCATCGGGGTGACGTGTTTTCTTGTGCTACAATGCCAAAATGAATATGACAGTCAGATACTGTATTAATGCATCGTGCAAAATCTTACGACAGAGTCCGGTAGGAAAAACCATGCCGCAAAATACTACGCCATAGTTTATTATTCAACAGAATATCGTAAACGTATTCTAAGGAATCGCACAAACGCAATACGAATTTGTGGAGCGACAATAGGGTCTAAAAGACTAGAGTAGAGAATTGAAAGGTACATGGTACACAGATCAATCCGGTATCAGTATATTAAATGTGATATCTTCAGCGGCGGAATGGAAAAATTTCCCAGAACATCGGGTTATATCTTGTCATTCAGTTGCCTACGGATCGAGGGAATCTTGGGTGAATATACATTTGTTCAACTCTAATTCGAGACGCGGTCCTGCGTCCTATGCACTGCAGGCGCTTCAATACCGTGGAGTCATGGCCTGCTCAAACGGTTCCTCTATGCTTCTAGAAGCGAAGGGGCGGTGCTGGTGTAAAGTGAGAAATATGTTTCTTTCTTTACATTGTGCATTTTCGCGTCTCGATCCGGTATCATTATTTTTAATGTGATATCTTATGGGGCGGTATCAAAAGTCCCCCAGAACATCGGGACTATATTTTATCATTATATGGTACACTGCTGTCGTAGTACCATACACTATTCGTAATGCGGTTAATGGAAAACTGTACAGCTGCACATGATAACGGGGATCTGTAAAGTAGTACTGCACGTAATGCAATGGGTCAAGATAAGTACCGTAGTGTAAACTACTCCATAGTATCGTACTATAAACTACAATTTAAATAAGAGTACAGAGTAGATCACTTCGAAGTAGTAATACAGATATGTATATCGCAGCATTTTATATCATCCGAGGCTAATTTTACTGCGTACAATATTACAGTGTCAAATACAACACTGCGGAAGTGCTTTACTACACTAGTGTGTACCAAGGTATCAACCGAATTTCCACGATAAAACTGGAAATACTTAGAGGCTCAAATCAATTACATTAAAACGTTATTACAGAAAATAAAGATACTTTGAAACATGGGTCTGAACAGTGCTGAAGAAGTGTTTTCCTTTTCTAAATTTCAGGTAGTAACCTATCTCCCGTTTCTCTGTGACAATCGTTCTGCGTGATACGTGAGCGCTAACTGGTTGCACGCTTGCACTCGGAAGATGAAATTTTCTTTTGTCGCACCTCGCCGTTGTATGAACAGTCGGTCGAGATATTTGCGAGCCAAATATGGGACCGCCATCATGAGCACAAAAACCGGCAGGGCAATCGGCATCGGAATATCGTCGGTTGGCGACGGAGGCACAAATACACATGAACAACAATTAGGGCAAGAGAGTGAAGAGAGCTTGTGTTGAAGTTTCGCCTAGAAGGCTTTGCCGATCGGCCACCTGACCCTGAGAGGAACCTGTTTCATTCTCTTCATGCGGTCGCCCCGCGAGGTGACTTGCCCCTTGGCCACGACAGTAACGATGTAGAACGATGGTGGAAGACATTACGCTTCAATACATAGCTTTTTTGGTAGACGAGTCACCGAGCAATACTAATTTTTCGTGCGAAGGGTTACATTCGACTTCTAATTTATGAAGGGCATCTTTTCATCTTCACTTTACACAAATGCAACACACTCAAAACGTCGTCCAATTTTCCGTACATAGACGGAAAGGTGTTTCATGATACGCCATTCAAGTCAAAAAAGAAACTGGTTCTCTGACAGGCCACTCAGTCATACTCTTCACGCAGAACTTAATAGCGAATCAAATCTGGTGAGTTAATTATTAAGTTAGCAAGTAAATTACCTAGTTAACATGCAACTACTAACTTATTTTTTACACTTATCATTTTCTTATTTACCTAATCATTAATTTTATTACTTACTTGTATGCTTGTCCACTAATAAACTAACTAACCTACTTACTCAGTTACGTACAAACATACTTACGAACTTACTCGCTCACTCATTGACATACTGATATAGTCAGCTACTTATTTAGATACCGTCTTGTTCGTTTGTACATTGACTTAATTGTATACTTGCACAATTACTTATTTACCTACTCTCTACTTATTTACTTAGTTAAGCACTCACCTACTGACACCCTTGCTTGCTGACTTAAGTATTTCTATACGTACCAATGTACTTGCTAAGTCGTTTTCTCTGACATCTAACATTCAACTATGTTTTTTGTCTATTGTCCTACGAAGTTAGCTACTCAATTACGTACTGAATTATTTACTAATTTACTCGCTTACGTGTGTAGTTAATTATTTAATTGTTTATTTACACACATATTTACTTAATTACAATTTCGTTAATCTTTTTCTTTACTTATTTACT